GTATCTGCAGTGTTGCAGATGACCACTAGATGGTAGCAGAAGGATGCAGAAAACCTGACTATTGCCACTTATTGATGCATTCATTCATTATTTCAAATTCTATTATCACCTGACTCTAGTGGTTGCTGGATTTTTTTGCAACTCAAAAACCTAGGACTGCAGAGCTTAAAGTATATGTCCAGCACTGTCTTTGTTAACAGATTTTCTCCATCACAGGAAATTTTCCATGAGAGATGTTATTGCCCCATCTTGAATAAAAAACGGAAATTCCTTCCAGAACTTTATATTGTCACTGGTAAAATATAGCCGATAAAGATGATTTCTTCCAGATTTATTTTAAATAGAAAAGAAGACAACACAAATAGCAGAAAAATGTTTTACTGCATTCACACAGTTTCCCTGACTCCACCAGATCCTTGTATTTCATAATTATATCTGTGCTGAAGTGGAAGTTATAATTTTGAAATTTTGAAATTAAAAGGGGTGCTGTTGCGTACGTGCATCAGAAACTCGACTCTCACTAACTGTGTTTGTATTTCTGTGGCTCCTTTCAACCTGGAACATTGACCAATTTGCCACTGAAGATAAAACTTCTCAAGGGGAGGTTCCAGCACATTCCAGCAGCTGAGCCATTATGACATGTAACCTGTTTCCTTATGAAAATGATACTCTATATCCCAAACTGAGCATCTATACTATATTAGTAACTGCCCAAGAAAAAGCCAAAACTAGTTGATAGTTACTCAGGGGCTAAAAGTTACTGAGGGAAAACATGTTTAATCTCCCCCATTGCTACAGCTAATGAATAAAAAAGAATGTGTGAAGAGGTACATGGGGAAAAGCAAGATTGGTTTGCAAAGATGGAAAAATGGAGAGAGGTAGAGTGTTGCTGTAAACTACTTTTAGCTATGCTTCCTGTTCTTACCTCATGCCATTCATTACTTTGGCTTCCTGTTTTTATTCCCCTTCTACCTTTTTGCATAATATTTCTTATCTCAGAAAGGAATCACATGATGGGTATGTATCAATGCATGTATGGATGGATTGCCACAGTTCCTAGAGGAATTGAGACTGGACATATGCACGCCCTTTCCAGCATTTCATGATTCAGTATTAGTTCTTCAGAGACATGGTGATACATCATCATGAAAAAAAAATAAAAGGCTCTCCTAGCTGAATTATTCATGTATTCAGTCTGCTAAGCCAGTTAATACGAGATGGCAGACCCTTTCCTAGGTTCTCTTGGCGCATATTCATTTGTTTGAAAGATTAATAATCTAACCAAAAATAGACCTTTCAATACCTTTGTCTCTATTCATTGTTTGAACCTTTTTCTTAAAGAAACAAAAATAATATCTATTTCTGCAAACAGACTAATTTCAAGCTGAAACAAAGTGAAATAGGTGGGTATGTATGTATGTATTCATTTCACACTAAATCAATATGAGGAAATTGGAACTGTTAGATCTCTAATGCAAATGATGGTAATCAAAGCTGGGGTCTGAAGTGTATTTGCCTTTTAGTTTACTTGAAGAAAATGCTAATAAGACTCAGCCATCGCAACTCTGTTTGGATGCCTCCTCTATTTACATTATTTAATCCCACATGTGACAAGGGACAAGAAGTTCCCCTTTTTAACTTGCAGCAAAAGAGAAGGTTTGCTGTGTTCAAAATACTTTTGCAAGACAGAGCCTGTTGTCCAACTAGATTCCCTTTTTAACTCGCAACAAAAGAGAAGGTACAGTTTATTGTGTTCAAAATAATTGCGCAAGACAGAGCCTGTTGTCCAACTAGATTTAAGATCATAATGAAAATCATAATGCCAAACTAGAATTTGTGGTCTGACTGAAGACCTGTGGATTCCTTACCAGGAAGAAAGCCATTGTGGTGTAGTGGTTAAGGTGTTTGGACTTGGAGTGGAGAGACCCTGACTTAAGCCCTCTCTCATCTATGAAAACTCTCTAAAATTAATGACTTTGACATAGTCACTCTTGGCCCAACCTACCCTATAAGGTAGGTTGTTAATGACATAGAATGGAGGCTCCTTGACCAACACATAACAACCACTACCTTATCCCAGTATGACTAGCACCCTAGTACTACCTAGTATGCACAATCTCAAAGAGCTTTCCTGCTTCAAGCCCAAGAATTTAGCCAAGTGTAAGGCTGGCTCGAAACACCCATTGCTAGTGAGAAGCCATGCAACTGTGGGAAGTGGGACAGAAAGACCACATTTCTCTGTGCTAAAACTGAGCATCTATGGGATTTTTTTAATCAGGAAAGACAAACTGTTTGGGAATGGATAATTTCTGATAAATAATACAGGTAATCCTTGATTTTCAACCGCAATTGAGCCCACAATTTCTGTTGCTAAGTGAGACATTTGTTAAGTGAGTTTTGCCCCATTTTACGATCTTTCTTGCCTCAGTTGCTAAGTGAATCACTGCAGTTGCTAAGTTAGTAACATGGTTGTTAAATGAATCTGGCTTCCCCATTGATTTGGCTTATCACCAAGTCTTTAAAGCAGCCATATCTTTTCCCCAGATTGTGCAGCTGCCTTCTGCAGCTGCCTATTGATCTTAAGAAAAGGTATAGCTGCTTTAAAGGATGGCAGGTAGGCCCAAGTTCACACTTCTATGTTCTGTAAAGCATCTTTTTGGAATCAAACTTGAAGTACTGGATATTCATATCATCTAATCATTTTCTCTGTTCTTCCATAATTGTTCCTCTAAAAATGAAAATATAGCTACAAAACTGGTTCGCTCCCCAAAGAGTTCATAGCCTAAATAGAATGTAAATCCAAAAGTGAAAAGCAAGATTCATAGTTGATTCATAGCAAGAGTCAGAATTATAAATGCAAGATTCATAACTATGGGGTCTCCCAGTAGTTGTTTGTCTGAGAGCAGGTTTATGCAGCTTTGCATACTAAAGATAAGCAAATGGAGCAAGTGTCCTCTAATTCAGTAAGATTTGTTGAGTAATTAATCATTTTCCTTTATTAGGACAAACAGGGTCCTTTGAAGGCACGTTTTTGCATGTATAATAGCCTTTTTTTAAAAAAATCTGCTTTTTGCAATAGCAATTTATTAGGGATATGCAGCACTTTGAAGCCCTGTAAGGCAGAGGTATCTACTTAAAGAAACTATATGCTAGCTGTGCAATCCCAGGAAAATACTCGACTGAGTGTTTAGAAGGCATCAGCGGGATGGGGCAAGGTATCTCTGAACAGGTGTAGCCACTAACTCAGCATTTCCTTAACTGAAAAGGGTTATTTTCCTTACAGTGCACAGCTACAGTGCAAGCCAAGCAAAAATGCAGCTTCTTTAGAAAGACACCCCTAAGTGTGGTTGATGTGTATGTCCAGCCCAATTCTGAAATACATTTTCAGCATGGGATCTGAAGAGCTGCATAATCTTGCTATTTATTTACACATATACATTCACACAGCTTTTTTTTAGCCCAATCCACAGTTCAATGTCTCAGCAGGTCACAGCACCTGGCTAATCTTGTCTAGGTTGAGATGCTAAGCAGACAGACCTCATTAATATTCAGATGGGAGGCCTGTCGAGAATATTAGGGCTGGAGGCTATCATGTGAAGTTGAAAAGCTTCCTAGAAGAAGCTTTTTTCTGTATTATTTCCGTAATTCTGCCAAAACATGACATAGGCATATCCACGAAGTAGCTTGAAGGGGACTTATTCTCTAAGGTGTTCACTACAACATGGTGTTTGTGTGTGTATGTGTGTATGTATCTTCCATTTTTATAATCACAGCAACTATAAATAGATTACAGTTTGGTGCAGGGGTAAGGCATCAGGCTAGAAACCAAGCAACTGTTGAGTTCTAATCCCAATTTAGGCACAAAGTCAGCTGAGTGACCTTGGAGACAACTGCAGGGACTAATCCAGGCAGTGACCAGGAGTCAACATTGACTTGAAGACACACGTGTTTGTGTGTGCGTGTGTGCGTGTGTGTGCATACGTACACGCATGCCCACTCACTCACCCACAGTCACAAAGATAAGGCTGAGAAAGTGAGACTAGCAAGGATCAATCCAAGGCTGATTGGAGTTGTGCCATAGGGTAAAAAGAGTCCTAGCCCAGCACTATAAATACCTATATCAGAAAGCTGATACACATTTAGGCAGATAATATAAGCTGTGCACATTATCCAAAGCAAGAATTATGTAGTTGGAAATCCACCCTGCCTTGGCTGCTTTATGCAAGCAAAATATCAATCTTATTTCTTTTGCAAGCTGCTCCCAGAGGCAAGGGCTTCTCCATCAATACGTACCGGGTAGCTATTAACAGTGTTGCTCTAAGGTAGGGGTCATTAATAAAGCTTCCCTGGTTGCAGCAATCTAGAACAAAAGATAACTATTTTCTCTTCTCTCCCCTCCTCCCCACCCTTGGTTCTCGGCTGCAGAGGCCTTTCAGAAAGGCCTCTGACGGCAAAATGCAGGCCTGAGCTCCATCCTCAGCTGCAGAATGAAGATGCTCCTTCGGCTGCAGAAGTAGGCCGGTGAAGGAAGTGTCAATCCATGGGAGGCCTGGCTGCAATGGCGACCCCTGCCCTAGCTTGATTTTTAGGCATGTGCCTCATCCCAAAACTAGGGCTTTTTGCGGGGTAGGGTTTATATTAAGCCCATCCCCGAAAATCAAGGTAGGGCCTATTTTGGGGGTAGGTTTTACTTATGGGGAAACATGGTAGTAATTATGTACCTGTTTCATATAACTCAGGAACATCCAGTCTTCTGCCCTCTCAATAGTCGTTTGTGGGAATGAGATTTCAATAATCTGATGAAATTTGGTGAAAACATGTAGTCAATTCTCATAGTCAAGCAATAGAAAAAGTAAGATATGAAATTGCTGTGTGAAGCAAAGTTGACCCCTGGCATAAGAGAGGGTTATCAAAGACATTCAAGATTGCTTGGCACAACAGATTCTTACTACCATACATTATCAAAATGTTTACCCCAGAATGACAAAAAGATAGTGAAGTTCTGTCTTTCTCGTTTATTGCTTTTTTTAACAAATCAAAGACTAAATTCAGAGGGAAGCTTTTATATTGAGAGACTTTGATTCTTGAGCGGCTGAAACAGTGAACAAATTGAAGGTATTTTCTGGGTCTGCTGCTGCTGCTTCAATGGCTGAGTTTTCTTAGGAAGAAGAATGTTTTTTTTATTACTGCAAAGTGTTTCTACACTTTTGGAACAAAAGGTTTAGAATATAGAATCACTGAGTGGTGACAGCTGAAAGCTGAAATACGGATATGTAATTCTGCAAAATATATCAATGTTCTGTTTTCTTCTTGTCTTTTCTCATTCCTTTCTTCTTTCCAAGAGGCTTGGATGAATTTTGCTAGAGAATTATTTAAAAAAAATCAGGTAAACAAATCTAATTAACTGTTACTTTTTTTACACAGATCACATGCTTTTCTGAACACTACTAGCATATAGACAGAGTTAATTACCTAAAATTAATATTCTATTACACTTATTTTATCCCTCTTTCATGAATGCTTTGGAGAAAGTTTTATTCATATCAATTATTTTAAATTATTTGTATTGGGTAAAAAGTGGTTATAAAAGTAATAAAAGGTTTATAATTGTTTAAATGAGAAAAACTTACAAAGAAGTTTGCATATTTTTTCTTAAATAAAAACACTTTAATAAATTCAGGATACTATTGTAGATAACATTCGTCATCAATGATGTTAGGCATTCATTTCTGCTGTACCCTACCCATACCAAAAGAAACATATGAGAAGAAAGCTACTGCTATAGATATTTTACTAAAAACTTACAGATAGGTTAGTGTAATTCTGCTCCACAAGTATATTTCTGGCACAATTGTTGATGTGTTTGAAACGATCTGGTCCTAGAAGGATACCACCATACCAGCGGGACACTACCACCAAAACATTATGGACATTCAGGATCTATATTTTAAAAAATTACATATTCATATTTAGAAGATGGTTTACAACCATCTGATTCACTTTGTTACATACAATAAGCATTTCTTAATTGTCAACTGAACCCATACTACATACTACAAAATATAATTCTAGAAAAATATACATTTGCAGCATCGACCCACAACTTGAAATAAGCCATCTTCATAGTTGTGGTTGATGCCATTAAATCACAGTTTAACTAGATATCCATTTTCAGATACCATGCAAATCTGATATTAGTTCTAGACAAAAACTTCTGAAAGCAGAGCTTCTAATAGGTAAAAGAAGGAGAAAGTTGATACGTTCAATGTTCTTTCCTATAACTTTAAACTTCTGTTTATCCTATCAGACCATCAGCAACAACTGAAAAGATCGTTAGATGCTTCGTATTTGCTGAATTCTTCCACCAAGGCAAAGCAAACCTAGATCTTTCTTACAATTTAGCATAGCCTTTCTGACCTAAGTTTTTTTCAGATATTGTAATCTACCATTTTGTTCTGGATGGTGGATTTATAGTCCACAAAGAAATGATTCGAAAAGCTGGTTATTGCTTCATTCTAAAATTATTCATCCGGACAAGGCAGTATATGACTCATAGGCAAGAAAAAGTTAAAAGATAAAACTTTAAACATCAATTGCCACTTTATGACTCTGGAAGTTAGTAATATTTTCATTCAATATATCAAACATTATTGATCTCTTGTCCATATTTTCACGATTTGATCATTGGTCAAACTATTCTAAATGACAAATAATAATCTCAAATATGCTGTATTTGTATGTATCCATTGACAAACGTTTGTCCGGTTATAATGTTATGGCTATGAATCTCCTGATTATAATGTTATGGCTACAAAGAATGAAAAATATCTTGTTACCAACTGATTCCTTTCACCTGCATAAGATGGAGAAGACGGCCCCCTGCTGCTGTTTCACCATCATCTTCACAATCTTGTAAAAAAGTCTGCTTGTCTTCACAGTATATTCTTAAAATAAAAACAATTCTAGATCACAGTGCAAATATGTATCTTCATTCTATATCACAACATGTTTGCTTGTTTATCAATCTACTGCTTTTATAAAATTCTCTAAAATCCACGAATAATCCATGAATAATCACATGCAATTCTACTGGGTCTGAACCTATAGATCCAAGAGACAGAGCATTCATTAGTAGATTTTTATCCTCTTCATTATTTTGCAGTAATTAGTATCAAATCTTAGCTACTCACCTGTAAGCATATATGTTGTGAGTAGCACTGGCTATTTTCTTATTTTTGTACAACTCAGCAAGAACAATTTTCACCTTGGAAGAAAAAGTTTCAGACAATAATTAGGATTTATATGCTTTACTTGGAGCTCTTGCAAACTCCTTATTGATGCTTAATTCTTGCATATTTGAATACAATTAAGCGCAACTTTGATTGGAGAATATAGAAGGCATATTTTAACCAACACACTTTCTTTCTCTTAAAATAGATTGTACTTTCTAGCTGTTTTGAGAATCAGTCATGGCTGACAATTAGGGCAGAAACATAAACTTGAGTTCTAACTTTTTTTCCTTCAACAGAAAAGATATCACAGAATTACTCCTTTAGGGAACTCTGCTTTTAAGATTTGGTAAATCCTTAGGAACAGATGATACAATAGGCAACAGGGAGCTGGCAAATACCCAGAAATAACTTTCCTCCTTAACTGAACTGAGTAGGAATTTAGAATGCAAGGCATTTATTATTATATTAAATAAGCATTAGGGATAAAGAAATCAAGCAGGCAAAAATGTAGAACAAAAAATTGTGGAAAGAGTTGTAAAAACAAAATATAAATTTATGGTGATCATATACATAGAAAATAGAGCAGCTTTCAGATTCCACATTAAATGGTAGAAAATAAAATTACCAATGTTGTCATCAAAATAATAAAATCAATTCTCATCAGATGCTGCAAAAAATCTCTATTCAATTTATAGAAAGTCAAATGGTCCTTGAACATAAATATGAAACAGCACTAATTAAATTAGCAGCTTTAATCAATATGTGATCTTTGGCATTCAACATTCATATTTCAAATTGTTGGGTTGGGTCTAGATTTAGGCTAAATTAAGAATACACTTTAAAAAAACAATGTCTGCTTTAAATCTGATTAGTGATACTTAAATCACTATATTTGCAGTGCCTTTCTTCTAAGAAATCAAAATGTATAGGACTGAAATATTTTAATTTTGTTGCATCCTTTCTAATAAATTACAGAATCCATTGAGTTAACTTGTAATAAATATGTCTTCTCTAACACATTTGTTTCAATTGTCAGCATTACAGTCACAAAAGATTTCAGTAAATAATTAGGCTGTAATTTTTCAGTTATCTTTTTCCTGTCTCCCTTCAAATATAGTAACAACTGTATTATTCTTATTAGAGAGATTACATTTCCCTATATAATAAAGGCTGTGTAAAGAAACTATATTAATAAACAATGCATAATTAATACCACTTTAAGCAAAACAATATTAAAGTTCTACGAGCTTGAGAAAACATGTCTGGCAAGCAAACAGCATTTAATTCAAAAGAAAAAAGTCATTCCTCTAGAGTCATCAAAATACATATTCAATGTTTATTTTTGTTGTATTTCTATTATTTAAAAGCAGAGTCTCTTTCTATGTCAGTGAGAACACTGCTGAAGTGTAGCTCATATTTCCTATATACAGTATATCCGTCTTCATACACTTGATCTTAGCTAAAAGGCCAAGACACGCGACAAAGGAGAACAATGTGGCCAAATAAACAGTGCTATGATTGCTTAGTGATTCATTTGTACATAACAAAAATGTTCCACAACACACATAAAACTGGAACATCATGAGACACATGAATGAAGAAAAGCACAGTGTATGAAAAACCTTGAGTGTAATGGAACTTATCCCAAAACAAATAGGCCCCACAAGTAGGTAATCCATAGTCTTCCAGATATTGGTAGAGTCCAATCAATAACAATCTTAATCACAATAGTTATGGATAATGGGCACTAAGATCCAATAACTTGAGGAGAACCAGGGACCACTCATTTCTAATCAACAGAAGCTTCATACGTATATTTTATCTGCCCACCCATGCTGTTCTCTAATCTGTGTGACTATCACATAACCACAAGTGAGATGTTATGAATCCTTTAGTCACAAAGACTTGATAGTAGAAGTAGATAAACTGCTATTGTCAAAATCTTTGAATTATAACTTAATTCACTGCCTATTAATATAGTTGGTTCCACCCAATTACCTACCTGTTATGGCTACTGTATTTTTGTATGTTTTGCCAATATAAGGATCTGAGACAAGACAGGAAATACAATTAATTATAACTGTTTTTAATTAAAATTATATCCTGCCTTTTTAAATGACACTTTTAATTAAAACATTGATTCTTTTGAATAAAAACACACCAGGAAAATTATGATTCACCAAATAAAATTTTATTTTCCATACAAATTAACTTAGATACCAACAGATAATGATGCAGTCCAGATACCAGATTAGCACTAAAAATAATACAACTCTATTTTTACAGAACAGACAAAAATTGCTTAATATTAAAGAATGGTTACTGTAATACAAATGTAGCCCAGATGTTAGTTAGAAGTTGGTTTTCCATAGATTTAGTGTGGATGCTACACTTATGCAGCCAAGATGAGCTTTGGAGAAAAAGCAGATGGATAGTCATGGTGTTTGTGAGCTGTCTCAAAATAATATTCTCTAATTAGCAGGCAGTGCCTAAATGTTTATTTTTGATATGTCATCTTATATAGTAACCCACTTGGAAAGAAGTTCTATCTTAATTGGTGCACACTAAAATAGATGTCATACTCTGCCTTCATGAATACTTTGCCACGTTGTGGTATCTCCCATAGCATTCAGAAACAGTTCTTTATTCCCATTCCTTCATTCAATCTTATTATCCTACCCATTCCACAGGCTGATATCTTTTATAAGACAATAGAAGTTTCTTATTGGTTTCCTTTGCTTGTCCATTTAGTCCAGGAATTTAGTATTTGTTTCAGTAGTATCAAGCCTCTTAATATCGCAGACAATTAATCTCTCCTCTCTCATTTCTTATCCATCATTCTTCTCTATGATCCATGTCTTAGCATGTTTTCTGCCTTCTCCAGCCTCATTCTAATCTTGTTTCAGCCTATATCAAATCTTTCGTTCATTTTCCATTCACATACTAATGGGCCTGTCCATAAAAAAGTGCTATAGATCAGTGGTTCTCAACCTTTTTAATGCCGCGACCCCCAACTGGTCGTAAGTCGAGGACTAAACCAGTCGTAAGTCGAGGACTACCCAACCGGTCGTAAGTCGAGGACTTTCCCTGCCTGGGAGCGCCGTGCATGCGTGGTTCCACCCCCTGCACCGGCTGAGGCGTAGCTGGCAAGCGGCAGAGATGGAGCAGGCCGCCCACCAGCTGGCCCAGCTCAAGGGAGGTAAGGCACCCGCCGGAAAAGGGGGAAAAATGGTGGACAGCCTTGCTTGGCGACCCCCGTGAAATGGTCGATCAACCCCAAATGGGGTCACGACCCATAGGTTGAGAACCGCTGCTATAGATAGTGCAAATTGCCAGAGAGTAAGCTAAATTTATAATGCACCAAGATGTCCTTTCTTGATACCACATTTCCCACACATTTGCATAGGTACAAGCAAAATACCCAAGTGCTATTTTCACTTCCAGTTGTTCATCAGTCAACATAATGCATGGATAAAATACTTATTTTTCTGCAGCAGCATGGCCCTGTTCCTAAATCCACATGATCAGAAAATCCTTCTTTATAACAACTTACCCATAAGATCACTCAACCTGAAAAAAACAGCTACTGTAACATACTACTGTTTATAGACATTAAAGTAAAAAAATAAAATCAGAATCTCTACCGTATGTAAACTTCTAGATGAATCAGTTTCATTCCACTGAGTGAGGTTTGCAAATTAAGAAAGTTATCAAGCAGTTTTATGTTCTTTCAATTAATTTATAGATATGAATATGCTCAACCCATATGTATAAACTATTGGAAAACATAATGATATGATTATTTGAAAGCAGGGTTTACTAACCTGTTTGAGGCATACAACAGGTGCTAAATGTGCCTGAAATGTGCTTCTTCGGTCTGTAATTGGGTTTCCATGATAAATTGGAGTTAACTCTTCATCTGAAAATTGAAAAATTCAGATTTTGTACAAGGATGGCTTACTGAATTTTCTACCTATTTCAAATAGAATTTTGAATGCTTCTGGTTAACCTGTTTCTCCTCTTCACAAATATTATCTCTGGGCTCTTTAAATCTTAACAATAAATAATTATTTCTAGTCATGTTCATCAATCTTTAAAAAAAATTCCTTTTTTCTATGCTTATTGCTTTCAAGACTTTAATCCTGTTTTATGGGTTGCCTCAAACTAGGAAACAAGACAGAAGAATGCAGAGAGACAGACTGTAGAAGTAAAAATTCACACTTAACTCATATAATCAAATCTAATCACTATCTCACTGTACTATTTACAAAGAACCAAGATAACTAGGTTAAGGAACTGAGATTTCTTCATCTTAGAATTCTGTTATTTGTTCCTTTCTCATTTCAACTGGGACCCCAGAAACTGACATATTTGCTTAGAGCCCTGTGCATCTTCTAGAAATCAAATCCAAAGCACTGCAGTCTTAACAAATACTTGAGATATGGAAATATAAGCAACTGTATATGTATATGTACAGTATATGCATATGTATGTTGGAATCCTATATAGTCAAGAGTGCAGAACCCAAGCAGTATTTATTTCACCACTTTCTCCAATTCAGATATTCATATCTGACATATGAATATAGGGAAGAGGGCCAGAGGAAACTGCATGGCCCTGTCACACCTTTGTGCAATGATAAAACATATGTTTGACAAGTATTGAAAAAGAAAAAAGCACTCTCATTACCTAACGATCAAGGCAATCTGTGTTAACCTTACAAAGCTAGATGAACCAGTGACTATCTTAATATAGAGCAACTTCTATGTTGTTATGATCTCATTCTCTTCAAAAGAGCTTCATGTTATCAATTCCCTTGAGTTGCTTTTGCTCTTTATTATTATATAAGCTTAACTGAAATAGCAATAGCAAAATTACCTTTTTTTTCAGACAGATCAAAATTTAACATTATAGCTGTACAATCTGGAAGAGGTTGATATTCCAGTGCAAATTCTTCTTCATAGTCCACATCTGTTTCTTCTGTAATCTTTTTATAATCTGGGCCTACCAGTAAAAAAAATCAATACTAATTAATACTTACAGTATTTCAGTGGCAAGAGCTCTAAAGAAAATATTTAAAATTCTATTTCTATGCTATTTTACCAAATATATATTTATGTATTTTTTATATTTAAAGATTTACAGGGAGTTTGTACTATTTTCCTGACACTTCTATGTTTTCTATCAAACCTGAAATATGCAACGCTTCATCTGTCTTTATCTATCCAATTCATAAAGCTTGCATAAAGCTTGCTCACTCACTGAAATATAAAGCTGCAACACTGACAACATGCACATAAACATGACCCTATGTCAATACTAAAATAACACTATGCAAATCATATATAGAAACTAAAATATAGGTAAGTGGACAGGCAAGACAGCAAACATTTCAAAGTGAAAGAGTTTGGCCCATTTACTATGCTGCCATAATGCCCCTCATATTACTACATTTCATTCTGTCCATAAATATCTTCTACTTATTTTCAATTACATGCCAATTTCCTGCTATATATGGAGGCCATCATATATTACCTGATTCAGATGACTGGGATTTTTCTATCAAAACCTCACGTATCTTCTCCACCCACAAATACAGAATGCTTTCACCAATGTTCTGTCTGAAATAAGCCAATTACAGACGATATATCAAGAACCTCTTACTTTAAAAATAAGAACTGCATGCGAAAAATCCTATATTTTAATATCACAGAATAATGCCCTCAAAGCATCATGCAAAATTCCAATTTTGTTTTCTCTAAACTTTCTCCCAGATAATCACTTTTATGTACAGTAATGATCCAAATGGGGAATACCAATCAGCACCTATGTCATTCAACCACAGGGTCTTTCCCCAAATGAGACTATTCAGAACTCTCACCATGGGTTTAACTAACTAGAAGCTTTGGAAGGCACAGTTGTGCTGCACCAAATATAAGCGTTTCTATTATATCTGTTTATTACATGCAATTATCACTAAGTAACATTAAGAGGGCATGCAAAAGCAATTTATTGTAGAAAGTATGAAATTTAACTGACATACATTTTGATCATGTAGATCTTTGAATCCCAAACATTTTTTTTAAAGTAATCCTGATCATGAAAGAAAAGCGGCCCTGTATAAAATCTAGTTATCTAAATTTTCAGGAAATAGATCAGTTTTATTATACTTTTTGCATTGTACTGCCACCTGCTGGAATTATGAGTATTTAGATTTTTAAAAATACAAATACTGTGCATTTTTTAAACTGTACCTTAAAACAGGATAGAAATACGTACTACTTACACATAGATTTCTTCTAGATGATTTGCCAGTTCTGCATATTCCTTTTGTAAAATCCAAGGAGCACTGGAACATAATGAACATGCCAGTTTCTATTGATAGCATTTTCTAAACCATACCCTATTTATGTACCATAAAAATTGCAAGTTATTAATAAGTATAGTTACAGTATAGTTATTAAACATGTATGCTTAAATTTTTAATTTATATTGTATGGAGCATAATTATTACATAAACACGTGTGCTCCCCAATTCATTCTAAGTTCTACAATGAATTGGAGAGCATGTATGTTTAAGTAAAAATTAGGTTTCTAAGTAGCCTAACGTTAACAGAGTAAAATACAGAATAAGAACACGCCCACATCTAGCCTTACCTTAGCATGAATCAATGGTTCTCAACTTCAGCAACTTTAAGATGTGTGGACTTCAACTCATAGAGAGATGATCCATATATCTTAAAGTGGTTGAAGTTCAGAAACTCTGACCTAAACTGTCAGTGCCCCATCAGCAGCTGCTTCCGGTCAGATAACACCCCTCTACCAAAGGCTCTTTGGAAAAACATCGTTTTAGCATTCTTGTAAAATGACAGTAAGGAAGGGGCCAACTTGACCATGGGAAGTATGCTATTTCAGAGCAAAGAGGTTATGACCGAGAAAGCGTGCTTTGGAGTTTCCACCACCTTCATGTGGTGGAACCTACAAGATCCCGCCCCCCTGGTCTAAATATGTTGGGCAGACAGAATTTATCCAGATGATATAGTAGTAAAGGTAATGAGAAGCCAAGCCATAAAGGATAACCAACACTTTAAACTGCATCTGAATGCTTACTGGCTATCAGTGCACTCCCAACAAAATTGATATAATTCTACTAAATCGATTATTTCTAATCATCATGCAGGTAGCTACATTCAATGCCACGCTCCTTCCAACTTGCCTTCAGGGAAACCCCATGAAGTGTGATTTGCAGTAATCTAACCAAGAGATTAGGGGCATAAACTATTGTCACCATTATCAGCTGATCCTGGAAAGGCCAAACTGGCACACTATTTGAAGCTGAGCAAAGGCTCTCTCCTTGACAAATCTTCCACTGCATGCTCAGTATGAGAGGTAAGCTTGATTATATTACCTACTCATTATTCGACAACCTGAGTTATTGGATGACCTCTCCCTGCAATTTCACACATATGTAAAAATAGAAAAGCCAATTCCTGAGTACCCCACTCTGGACTATACAAGGGTTGACCCTTCTATCCACAATTGATTAGGACTGCCCACTCAGAAAACAAAAGAACCATGCACCAACATGTCTCCAATCCTCTACACTCACAAGCAACCCCCCCAAATACCACGGTTGATATTTAATGTCACTGAAAGGTTAAGAAGAGGATGCACATTCTCCATCTAAATCTTGCTAGCAAACATCCACTAGAGTGATCAATACCATTTCCAGACTGAAATTAATCCAGATAATCTATTTCATAAGGGGATCACATAACTTCTTTTTCTCTTAAGAAATCAATCTGATAATCAAGAACCCTGAAAAATGAGACACTGGAGATATGGGTGCACATCTTCTCGGCTGGTATCTGCACTTTGGAATGCTTCCTCTCTGAGATGTGTGAGGTACCCATTATATTTTTTGAACAATTGTTTAAAATCTTGCTCTTTATTTGGGTCTTTTTTATGTCAATCCTACGTAAGTGCATCCTTTGTCTTTATTTTCTTTTTCTGTCAACTCTTTAAACAATATGAATTTATTTATTCACTCATTGTGTTCCTTTATATGCCCCATATTCACAACCTACAGACTGGCAAGCAGAAATTAACAAGAGAACCAACAAATAATTCAATCCAAAATAAAAGTAGCACAAAATAAAATAAAAACAAATTGAAAGCAAAACAAAATGGCAATTATAAAAAAAATGCCTCAAACAGAAATTAAAGCTATATATAAGACTCATAGTATCAGCTACTTACATCTGACAATAAAACAGCCATGGCTGTTATATAGGAAAGCTAAAAAATGAAAATATTTTAGAGTTTCTGTTACAAAATTATTTGGGGAGGGTTATAGTTAAGAGTTGTCTATTATTAAAATGATATATTTCTGGAAAGCATGTACTTACTTAAGCTGATAAATAGGTGGTGCTGAAGTTGGATATTCAGGAGGCAGAATCACCTGCAAGATTTTAATAATCAACCAGCAGTAGTATCTTCTTTAAAAAGAGCTGAGGAAAATATCCACAAGATCAATTCTGAAATTCTGTAACATTATAAAAGTACACAAAAAGATGTAGTCTTAGACCTATCAGTCCTATACAATAAAGAAAGTGCAACTTGTTTTTGTATAAACAGGCACAGATCTCAGGGTTCATCAACTTTCTTAATATCAACAAGATGGTGCTCCAGCAGCATAAGGACATTTAATTCTTCCCTTCCCAATTCTCTGGAGAACTGTATGCATTATTAGCAATTTTTAAAAGAAACAACTTTACTCAACATTAAAACTGTTCTAGAGAAAGAAAAAGAAAAACCTACAAAGAAAAACTTTCTACTCTGATGACGTCTACTTTCAAACTATAGACCCAATTATATAACTATAAGCTTACCTGCAAATTGAGAGTCCACTTTGGCTGTGCTGAGCAATCACTAATCTTAATACAAAAAATTTTCTCATCTTCATCAACAATGCACCATTCATCGCCATAGATAGCTGACAGAGCTTCAATTTCTTCGGTCTGCAAAAAATGATGTTATATATTAAGTTGTTTTACTTTAAACCCCCTTTTTTCCCTTCTGTTCAATCATGTACAATTCTCTAAGACAAGTCCCTCCAGTTTTCTTGGCAAGATTTTTCAGAATTTGTTTACCATTATAGCTTACAGAGAATGGAAATAAATATCTCTCTAGAAAATCTGAGGTGTTTGCAGTGGAAGAGTAAAAAGCTCAGATATATAATTTGCTTTTATTAGAAATATGAAAAAGCTCCCAACAAAAAGATCAGATACAACAAGCAATCCAGCCATATATAAATCAGACTCAAAATTTAAATATTTGATGTTATCTTCAGTTTCAAATACTGAGTAAGAATATGCACATTTTAAGTTATTTTTTTACTTCCTGTTGTGCATAATTTTTGTACATGCCAGCACAAAGTATTATCTATTTCTGCTTTTTTGAAGTCTACTTTTTATATTATGTATTCAAAGAATGGAGAAAACACATAGCAACTGTATGTTATGTATGTATGTATGTATGTATGTATGTATGTATGTATGTATGAAAAAGAGCATCAGCTGCCTTGACCTAACATGTCAGTAGGAAAGATATAGTTGAGGAAATCTAAATAATAGGAACACTGGGGAAATAAATTATTAATGCTTTCTAATTTTAAGGGAAATGAAAGTTGCATGAAGTAAACATGTTCCTTGAACTTCAAAAAAGGAGACCAAGAACAACAATATACACAATTCTACAAGGTGCTGGGTTTTAGTAGTCCCACTCTCCCACTTTTCCTGATATTTCAAGCTTGCCAAAGAGTGGATCAAAGAGAAAGGGTATGATGGATTTTGAAGACAGATTTTAAGCATTCTTTCAAAACACCTCAGCTATTTAAACCTATAGACTTGCTGGAATCCATTGCACCCAAAGCTTGCTGTATATCTGTTTGGAGGTTTTGACACTTTCCCAAGTCTTCTTGGACTTGTGAAATTTACAAGCTTTGACAATTACATCCTTCTCTTCTGATATTAATACTAAAGCAGGAGAGGTAGTAAACCATTTCTCAAAACTTGAGTCCTCCTTACATCTCTTTAATGAACCGTACTCAATGAGTAGTCCTCATCGGCACTACATCCACATGGAGAAAAGCAGTGGGGTACCACAAGGTTCTGTCTTAGACACAGTACTCTTCAATATCTTCATCAATGACTTAGATCAGCGGTTCCCAACCCTTTCTATACTCCGCATCCCTAGAACGCTTCTGATATATTCTCACACCCCTTACAAAAGTTTGAAATAACGAATTATGCATATACGCTATAATTTTGAAACTTCTAAACCTATGCACCCCCAGGGGGGTGCAAGCATCCACGGTTGGGAACCCCTGACTTAGCTGAAGGAATTGAAGAGGAACTAATCAAATTTGCAGATGACACCAAACTGGCAGGAGTAGCCAATACCCCAGAAGACAAACTCAGGATCCAAAAAGATCTTGACAAACTTGAACAATGGGCCCTATCCAACAAAATGAGTTTCAATGTGGAGAAAAGCAAAGTTTTACATTTAGGTAGGAAAAATCAAAGGTACAAGTACAGATTGGGCAAGACCTGGCTTAAAAACAGTAACTGTGATAGGGACCTTGGAGTCCTAGTGGACGATCACCTGGCCATGAGCCAGCAGTGTGCAGCAGCAGCCAAAAAGCTAATGCAATCCTGGGTTGTATAAACAGAGGCATAGAATCAAGATCACGCAAGGTATCGCTTTATAAAACCCTAGTAAGACCACACCTGGAATACTGCAGCCAATTTTGGTAACCATATCACAAAAAAGATGTTGAGAGTTTGGAAAAAATTCAGAGAAGAGCAACTAAGACGATCAAAGGCCTGGAGACTAAAACATACGAAGAACAGCTGCAGGACGTGGGTTTGGCGAAAGAAAAGAAGAAATAGGGGAGACATGATAGCAGTATTCCAGTATTTGAGAGGCTGCTACAAAGAAGAGGGGGGTCACGTTATTCACCAAAGCACCAGAAGGCAGGACAAGAAACAATGGTTGGAAACTGATCAAAGAGAGAAGCAACCTGGAATTAAGGAGAAACTTCCTGACAGCGAGGACAATTAACCAGTGGAATAGCTTGCCCCCAGAAATCATGGGTGCTCCATTATTGGAGATTTTAAAAAATAGGCTAGACAGTCCCTTGTCTGAGATGGTATAGATTCTCCTGCTTGAGCAGGGGGCTGGACTAGAAGATCTCCAAGGTCCCTTCTAATTCTATTCTATTCCTATTCTATTCCTAATCCTATTCTATTCCTTCTGGGCAGTGATCTTCACAAAGGGAGAGAGCAGCCAAATTAGAGAGTTTAACCAATTGCTTTACGCTATTGAAATCTGAATGTCACCATTCAGCCATGAATCAAAACAGAGGGAATAGATGCACAATAGGGATCAATAATACGGACAGTAAATTCTGTGATGGGATGATCTTCTGCCAACGGATGGACAGAGGGATAGTACTTTTTCTTGGGAAGAGAGTATGTTTGCAGCTTTATTCCTTCAATATATCAGGCATATTAAGAACTGTTTCATAGAACTGTTATTATCTAAGATGACATTACACTGTGGACACCATGGTGGATGGAGAACTGTACAAAGTGTTTTATTATTACCATTTGGTATTGGTTTATTTGATTTAATGGAATAGTGTAAACCAGGCATCTTCAAACTTGGCCCTTTTATGACTTGTGGACTTCAACTCCCAGAATTCCTCAACCAGTATGCCTGGCTGAGGAACTCTGGGAGTTGAAGTCCATAAGTCATAAAAGGGCCAAGTTTGGTGTAAACCATCTGCAGCAAGTAATATAATAAGTCATGCCGGAAAGAACTGCTGTAACAGAATAGGTAACAAAACACTACACATTGGATAGGATTTTTTTCTTCATGAAACATTTATACAGTGTATCCACGTATTTAGGTTATCAATTTCTCCGCAAGTAAATTATGATTAGCCCACATTCACACAAAGCTGATAGATTCCATACATTCAATTGATTACCTATGTTTAATAAGGATAGATATTTTGAAAACTGTTGTTCGTCCATCGATTTCGATGAAGACCTTGACATCTTATGGATCAGAACACGGACAGTAAGTGCCTATTACTTCAATTCCCCACTTACCAACTTCCTTGAACCTCACCACCACTTTCCTATCACATGAAGCCGAGTACTACCGTACTTACTTGTTTTTGCGTTGTTTCCGGGTCGCTCGCCGCCGCCGCCATTCCTCTGACGAAAGGTGGGTCTCGTAGTCCTACGGAACTCCATAGATCCTCGGTAGGGCAAGGCCGGATGAGTTGTGTTTGCACTCCACGCACGCGCAGTGGTGCGATTGAAGCTCTTCGCTTTCTCCCTCATTTCAACTGAGGAAACCCCTGAGAGCAAAGCGGAGATGAGAGCATCTGGGAAGCTTCCGACACGCTTTGGGGTCGTCGGGCTTGGGGCGGATGATTGTGAGAAAGGGACTGCGTTCGTAAATCGAGGTCGGCTAGTTGGTGGCACAAAGTGGGGTGTAGGGTTGCCGGTGTTGGGTTTTTAAACCCAGATCTGGAGTTTGGATGCCTGTCTGGGTTTCCAGGTTTTTAATTAAAAATCTATTTTTCTATACGTTACATTATATTGTATATACCAGGGGTAGGCAACCTCGGCTCTTTTATGACTCATGGACTTCAACTCCCAGAATTCCTGAGTCAGCTATGCTGACTCAGGAATTCTGGGAGTTGAAGTCCATGAGTCATAAAAGAGCCGAGGTTGCCTACCCCTGGTATATATCAAATCGATAAGAATAACATAGTTTAAAACTGATTTATTGGGGGAAGGTATGTAGAATCTGGATTTATTTGAACATCAATTCTTGCCTTTTATAGAAAAACACCCGGCAGCCCTGGTAGGGGTCCATGGTTCACTTAACTAGGGATGATGTGCGACATGATGAGCGTAAGAAGGTAAATGTAGTTTTCTGAGCAAGAATATGGACGTGAGTTTGCAATTGGCTTGAGTAAGAAGGAAATATAACGGGAACACACAAGTTTAAAAAATGCCGAAAGAAGAGGGTATACTTTTCTAGAACCAGTTATGAAAACTTTTCTACAAAAAAAATAAAAATGCAATTGCAAAGAACTCCTAAGTCAGATAGTATAGAACTAATAGACCAAACCGCATGAAAAGAATTTAATACACTGATATAACTTGATTTTAAACATATACTCTTGCTCAACCTAAGTATTACAGTTACTTATTCTCAGGGCAAATATCGACCCTATCAGTTTACAGGCAATGAAAATAGACATAAATGAAAATGCAATGCATTTTTATAATAAAAAATAAATCCCTAGATTCTTTCTATATTGCTATTTGTACTAATGGTTAAAGGAGAGTCGTCTTCTCCCCCACCCCATTGGTTTGGAATACTCTAGTTCAGGGGTAGGCAACCTTAGCTCTTTTATGACTTGTGGACTTCAACTCCCAGAATTCCTGAGTCAGCATGGCTGGTTCAGGAATTCTGGGTATTGAAATCCACAAGACATAAAAGAGCCAAGGTTGCCTACCCCTGCTCTAGTTGGTGATTATGAAAGTTGGGAAACTAAACAAATCAGAGTAAGGGCCACTCTGAATTAGCAGAATATACTGGTTTCTTTCATGTTTTGTTTTTATTTTACTTTTCAAGGGGTATTGTTTTTGCTTTCATTAAAAAAAGTATACCATCTTATTTATTTTTTAAAAATCCACTTATTTCATGCAGTGAGGGGCAATTTTTTAAAATGTGCTAAGTAGAAAAAACATCTTTAAGCTATGGAATGGAACCAGAAGTAACAAACCGTCTTTCTGCCTGCATGCATATGCCTTTACAAATAAATAACACTGAGGAGTCACATCTGTATGCAAATCAAAACAACTTTGCTGATACAAAGCTCAAGTGATATTCTTCGTAATAAATAAATGGTACAACTTTCTCTATTGTTTTGTGGAACTAGCCATATAATCAGATCTGATTGACAGAATATAGAATCATTGACTCTGTAGAATTGTGTAGAAATTCTGTGGTCTTCTCCATGTGTTGTTGATAAATATTTGCCTAAATGAGCATTTATATTCTTCAGTGTTAAATTATATACATTTGTTCATTCATATATACCTGATAATATAGCATCTGAATAAATGGCCATTGATCATAAATATACCTAAATATTACAGTGCATGTAAAATGCAGCTTCCACAATTTATTTATGCACATGGATTTTTTTTTTAACTTCTCTTAGATCTAGATGGTGGAATTAGTTATTTAGATATCTGAAATAATATCCAAGTATTTAACTGACTTTTGACATGAGTTAATTATTTTCCAATGGAAAGAGCTTGCTAAAATTTTAGGCAAGAAGTACAGCATTCTACATAATAGATATGTGTTCATCTTCCTGACATGTGTTCATCTTTTACATATTCACATTCACACACTATTTTTCTACTGGTGGAATTGTTCCTCCAAAACTTTGAAAGATTATTATTTATTAATTTATCAAATTTAGGACCACTCATCTTACTCTCAGAGGAACATTTCCTGTTCCTTATATTTCACTACATTTAAAATACAGTTTTATTATCTCTGTTGAAATAGAACTCTTTCTTCAAAATCCACATATTTCTCCGAACAAGAGAATACAAAAGATTTAGTCTGGATTAATGTAATGGAAGAATGTACAGTTAGTTCTTGGTTAATGATTGCTCATTCAGCAACTATTTGAACTGGCAGTCCTTTTCCCTGCCTTCATGGCACCTTAGCTCCCCCATGTATCTTACACAATGCCTCAGAACCCCTGTACACAGTGCTACAGACCATTTCCCCCACCTGGCCACCCTCCATGACACTTAATTGTCAACCTACATGAAAGCTGCCTGGGACTTGCAATATCCAACCAGCTTCCCCATTGATTGCTTCTTAGAAGCCAGTGGGAAATTGCAATGAGAGCCTCATTTAAAAATCCATGATCCCTGCTTAAAGATGGCAATGAGGACTACAGGGATTGCTGGTGCTAAGTGATTTAGTCACATGATGTCACATTTTACAACTACAATGCGTGGGGACAGAAATTCTGATTCCAGAATTAGGTTAGCCCTAACCCCAGGACTACCTGTAGAAAATAGAAACCATAGATGATTAACCTATAGTCAGTTTAAATCCGGCTTACTAAATAAACCATATTTTTGGTTTAATGTGATAAGCCAAAATTAAATTGCTCTAAATATTTATTAAATGTATAATCTCACCCATTTTAAAAACAGTAAAACAACCATTTTTTAAAAAAAAAAAACCAATTTTGTAGCATAAAATTTCATAATGGACATTCTAGGACATTCATGGTGTCCTGGATTGAAATTAACCAGGAAACAGGTTCATCCATACTGTCAGAGTCCTAGGCTAGATGGCAATGCCAAATTTTTAATGCCTTGAAAAAGACCAGCAAAGTCAGGGCAAATCTAATCTCAGGGGTTTGATATTCCAAAAGGTGGACATTAGAGCCGAAAACACACTTTTCTTCCTAAGTTTTGCCAGATGTTACTCTTAACAGACAGGACCCAAGGCATGCCTTTCCTGGCAGATCTAACAGGATGGGTAGATATCTCTTGAGGAGAAATGGTCTGCACATAACCCAGCCTCCACCATGAAGAACTTTAAATGCAGCTACCAGAATTTCACCCAGAAGCATACTGGTAACCAGTGTAGCTCAGGGAACAGAGGTGTTGCATGTGCTGAGCAATTGGCACCCATGACTACCTCCACAGCTGCATTTTGCACCAGCTGAAGCTTTCAAATATTCAAGGATAGCTTCATGTACATATTGCAGTAATCCAATAGGCAGGTAGTTAAGATACCAGTGACTAAGGAGGACGTCCTGGTCCAGGAACAGACACAACTGGTGCACAATACAAAGCTGTGCAAAGGCCATCCGAGGCACAACTGTTATCTGCTGTTCAAGTCCAGGACCAGCAGATAACCCCGTTCGGAACAAGAGGATGCGGGTGCCCAGAATAATAGTATGGGTGAATGTAAACTCCAGTTTGACCTTCCATGAGGCTTTCTGACAACAAATCCACACTGATGCCAAGGGTCATGAGGAAAAAAAAAATACTTCTGGGGATTGCAGGGAAACCAGGTTGTCAGAATGCAAGCAACTTATGAGACCAATTGGAATGTCTTTATGATCAGACTTTTTTTTCCCTGCATCTGATCAAAGCCAAGAAGAAACAATAGATAAGAAAAAATGTATATGTTGCAAAAGCCAGCAATAAGCATAAATATAGAAGAAATAATATAAGTAAGTTGTACTTAATTTTGGGTTAAGATAAGAATTAACATGAAAGGCAATATGAAACATGCAGGTTGTATAAGCTGCCTGCAGTACACAACTATTTTTACTCCAATATTTATAAAGACCTATTCAAAGCTGCAAATATAATCCTTATACAGGTGAAACTCGAAAAATTAGAATATCGTGCAAAAGTTCATTTATTTCAGTAATGCAACTTAAAAGGTGAACCTAATATATGAGATAGACTCATTACATGCAAAGCAAGATAGTTCAAGCCGTGATGTGTCATAACTGTGATGATTATGGCTTACAGCTCATGAAAACCCCAAATCCACAATCTCAGAAAATT